AACAGTGATGACAGGGGACATCCTTGACCTATTCCTGATCTTAGAAAGGAAGCATTCATTATTTCATAGTTAAGCATGATGTTACTTATAGTTTTTTATTTAATCTGTATTATATTTTTCCATTACCATTTAGTCCCCTTATGCTCCCCTTCCCCATTACTTACAGTTTTTTGTAGATGCTTTTTTATCAAGTCAAGAGAAGTCCACTTTATTTCTAGTTTGCTGAGAGGTTTTATCATGAATTGTTGTTGGATTTTTGTCAAATGCTTTTTTCTAGGTAAACAAATAAGATTATATGCTTTTTTTCTCCTTTATTCTGTTAATGATGGGTTGAATTGATTAAGTTTTGAATGTTGAAGCAGCTTTGCATAGCAGAAATCAATTGCACTTGGTCATGACGTAGAACTGATTTATACACTTCCAGATAAAATTTGCTAATGTTGTGGAGGATATCTGTATCTAAGTTCATCTGAGTTATTGGTATGTAGTTTTCCCTTCTTTGTTCTCTCTGTCTAGTTTTGGTATGTGAGTAATACTAGCTTCATAAAACAGAGTTAGGAAGTGTTCTTAATATTGGTTGAATTTTATTTTTTATCTTTGATATTCTTGTCAGAGAATTAGCAATTTTATCAGAGATAAAACAAACTTTTCAAAGAGTTAGCTTTTTATTTCATGGATTTTTCTCTAATGCTTTCAACTTCATTGATTTATGCTCTTTTCTTAATTATTCTCTTATGCTTAGTTTATGATCTACTTTTTCTATTTTCTTGAAGTAGGAACATAGATTATTGATTTGAGGTTTATCTTCTTTTCTAAAGCACTTAATGCTATACATTTCCCTATCAGCATTGCTTTATCTGCATCCCACATATTTTGATATGTATTTTAATTTTCACTCATTTTATATATTTTTAAACTTCCTTTGAGACTTCCTGTTTGGCCAATGGATTATTCAGAAGTGTGTTGTTTAATTTCCATGTATTTAGAGACATTCCTCTTGTCTTTTGTTGTTAACTTCTAGTTTCATTCCATTATGGTAATGAAACATGCTCTGTAAGACCTAATTCGTTTAAATTTGTTGAGGTTTGTTTCATGGCTCAGGATATCGTCTATCTTGGTAAATGTTCCATGAGTGCATGAAAACATGTGTATTCTGCTCTTGTTGGGTATAGTGTTCTATATAGTTGATCCCTGAACAATGCAGGGGTTAGGGGAACTGACTACATGTGCAGCTGAAAATCCACATATGACTATAGTCAGCCCTCTGCATACATGAATTCCCAATGGCCAGTTGACCCTTGAACAATACAGGTTTGAACCATGCAGGTCAACTGATAAAAGACCATGCATAAGTGAACCTGCCCATTTCAAACACACATTGTTCAAGGGTCAACTATGTATCAATTAGTTCCTGTTGGCAAATTGTGTTGTTCAGTTCTTCCATGTCCTTTCTGATATTTGGTCTCATAGTTCTATCAAATAGCTGAGAGTGATGTGTTGAAGTCTCCAACTATAATTACTGATTCGTATATTTCTCCTTTCATCTCTACCAAGTTTTTCCCTAGTATATCACTATATATAATGTATTAGTGGTTGCTTTAAGTATTATTATGTGTGTGTGTGCACAGATACCCACATGCATGTGTATGTATGTGTGCAACTTATTACGGTCTAGTGGTATTGATGTTTTACCATTTTGTGATGTGCAGAAGCCTCACTTCCATTTAGGTCTTTTCATTTTACCCTGATTAAAAAATATATAACTGTCTGAAGTATTAATAGTTCCTCTATACACATTGAGCACTGTACCAAAAGGAACTATGACTGTTGCTTCAAATATCAAATATGATTTTTAAAACTCATGACAAGGAGGAGAGCATATTATATTTACCCCTATTTTATACATTGCAATGTTCTTTCCTTTTTTGGAGTTTCAAGCCTTCTTTTTCTATCATTTTCTTTTCTGTTTAGAGAACTTCCTTTATTCATTTTTTAGGAGCAGATTGGCTAGCAACAGGTTCTCTTAGTTTCCCTTAACCTGATAAGATCTCTATTTCCCTTTAAACCTGGAAATATATTCTCACTGGATATAGAATTTGCAGTTGACTCTTCTTTCCTTACAGTACTTGAAAATAGCATGTTGATTCCTCCTGGCCTCCCTGGTGACAGGAAATCTTCTGTCATTTGGGTTGGTGTTTCCCTAAAAGCAATGCACCATTTCTCTGTCTGCTTTCAAAATCTTTTCCTTGCTTTTAGCTTTAAGAAGTCTAATTATGATGTGTCCCGTGGTAAATTTCTTTGAGTTTAACCTATTTGGGATTCACTCAGCACCTTGGATTTTCAGTTTCTTATCTTTCAACAAATTTGGGATATTTTCAGGCATTGTTTCCTTGAATACTTGTTCATCCTCCTCTGCTTTCCCCTTCATTACCACTCTTCATTACTGTTCTAAGGTCCCCAAGACTGCCCACTTTCATCCACTCTGTCCAGACAGGGTAAATTCTATTGCTCTGTCCTCAGTTTTACAGATTCTATTTTCTATCACCTCTACACTACTATCAGTGTCAGGGACAAATTTGCCATTTAATTATTGTATTTTTCAATTCCATAATTTTCATTAGGTCCATTTTTATTCTATATTTGCTAAAATGTTCTGTTATTTTTATTTTTTTCAAGAGTGCTTGTAATAACCTTTGAAGTATTGTTATGATGAACACTTTAAAATCATTGTTGCATAACTCCAACATCTGATTCTTCTCAGTGTCATCATCTACTGCTTTCTCATTCAAGTTGGTTTAATGTATAATGGGAGATTTTCCTATAGCAACCAGGGTGTTTGGGCATTATACTATGAGACTGTATTTCATCTTGAGCACAAGTCTGTGTGTGTATATGTTCAGCTTCCCAGTGAGTGCTATAAACACCATCCTGGTGAGAGTGGTACACTGCCTTGCATTGCCCTGCACTGTGGTTGCTGACAGGTAAGGCAAAATGTCAGCTCCCTCTTGGTCTTGCTGATGCCAGAAGTGGGTGGGGAAGCAGAGTGCCAAGTAGCCCAATTTCCCATCACCTCTTCCTGCCTCTCATTGATGCTGGATGAGGGCAGAGGCCAAGCCTCCACTGGCTCTTACTAAAACTGGGGGAGGGGGAAGTGGAGTATTAACTACCCCAGCTCATTCCACTGATGCCAGGTATGCCTGGCAGCTCAGCTGCCACTTGACCCCTTTATTATGGAGGTTAGATAACAGGGAGAGAAGGGATCAAAGTCCACACTAGTCCTGCTTCACAGTGCGTAATTCGGTTTCTTGTTGCTATGTTGAGTGTGTAGCTTCAGCTGCTCACTAGGCCCACTGACACCAGGGGGGCCTAGGTGCCAAGGCCCACTGACACCAGGGAGGCCAAGGGAGTAACATTAATGGTGACCAGCCCTGACTCACATGTCCTGGTTTAGTCTAGATGATATCAGATGGAGGTAGGGGCTTAACTTTCCACTGGATCCTGCTGACACTGGGGTAGAGGGTTGAAGTATACTAGCGATGAGCTCCACCTTACCTCACCTCACTGGGTCTTATTGCTGCTGGTGGAAGTGTAAGCTGAGCTCAACAACGGGTCCTGCAAGCTCACCAATGAGTCCTGCTGACATTACCCTGATGGAAGAGTTGGAGCTCCACTCACTCCACCAAGCAAGGGGTAGGACATTAGTTCCGTGCTCAGCCCCACCAACACCACCAGGTAGGGGTCGGAGTTGCTATACTTGCTACCTGCTGCTGCCTGCTTCCTTAAATTGGAAGTCAGGGGAAAGATCAGTTGCTGCCAGGCCCTGCTAAAATTGGGGTGTATATGTGTGTATGACTAATGTAGAGTGAGTATTACCAAAAGGATGTTCTGTCACTAGGCCACCCTCTTCCCTGTCCTTTGCCTAGGAAGAACACCCTTTTCTTGGAGCACATTTGGTCTGTGCCTGTTAGAGATTCAGGATACATATGCTCTCTACAGGATTTATGAGAGGCAACAAGGAAACCCAGAGAACCGACTGCCATTTCCTTCCTTTAGGCGGCCTGCCCCCACCTTCCCCCTTTCAGCGTCTTCCTGTGCCAATTTGCTGTGTTATATCCAGGGTATGTGATTGCTAAGAGGTAGGCCCTGGGAGGGTGGGGCCACTCCATCTTAGCAGGACCTGAGTTCCCTGTTCTTTTTTAAAGCTCAAATTGTGATCACATTCTACATACATATTTATATCATTTTTACTTACCACTTTACAAGTTTCTGATTTCTACAATAACCTCTTTTAAGCACAATTTTAAAGGCAATGCAATTCCTCACTGAGTGTCCAGAACATGGTTTACATAATAATTTTCTTATTGTTGAAAGTTTAGATTCCAACATTATTACTATAATAAATAATGTACTAATGAAAATGTTTATGTCCTCAAGTTTCCCTGTCATTAGGATTATTGCCTTAGGTAGGGTCCCAGAAGTAGAATCTCACATAGCCCAACAGAAACACTGATGAGTTGCCCCTTTTGCTTTCACCAACATCGGGGCCCCAACACACTCTTAAATGTGAGCCGATTTGATAGAGAAAAGAAGACTGTACTACAGCATGCCTTCATGTGCGTTTCTCTGATTACTACTAGTGAGGCTCATCTATTGCTTTCTTTTTGTAAATGTGCTTTTTACATCTTTTGCCTGTTCATCTTCTGGAGCCTAACACACTCTTTAGGACTAGCCTTCCCAGCAGAAGGACCTGACTCAATATGCACAAGTAGTTTTCTTAAACCAAAAAAGACAGAGTTCAACAACAAAGATTAGCTAGGAGAGAAAAAAATTTAATCCTTGTTAAATTACTGCAAAAATCAAGTGCCTGGCAGGAAAACACCCGCCAATTAAAAGAAGACATCAGATGAAGATAAAACATATGAAACACTTCAGATTTCTGGATAACTCTTGATCTTGAAATTTATACTATTTAAGAAGAATGAACGTTTCCTGAATCTTACCTGCAGCCTAACAACATTGTCACCTTCAAAAGTTACAAACACATCCGTGTCACATTTTAAGTATGAGATTCCGTTTTCCACCAGATAACCCTATTGCAAAAAGAGAAAAAAGAAAAAAACAGCAATGCATTTTAAATTTGCAATCCCATCATAAAGAACTAACATTTTCTTTGAAATTAAAAAATACAGAAAATTGAAAATAAGAAAAGAACATTTCTCTTACCCAAAGAATTGATCTAAGAATTTGGGCTCATCACAGTGGCCTTCGGGGCGTGAATAATGTTATTTTGAGTGCTGCCTTCATTAGCAGTAAAAACATTTGAAAATGGTCATGTCGTATTTTTTCAAAATATTTCAACATATTATGCAAATTTTTCCAAATCTTATGAATTTTAATAAATATCAAGGTCTTAGTGATTACACCCTACAGGAGAATGGTGCCTCCCCTCCCACCTCACCCCACACCTTTTAAAATTAGCAAATACACCTGTGATTCTTGGACGACAACATAAAAATCCTAAATTGCCACTATGCATCTTAATGTCATTAAATACTCTGCATTATAAACTCACATTCTAGCTTTTAGCTAGTTTTTTTTTCTTTTTTACTTCCTGAAATCCTCATTTAGATGGCGGGAGCCTGCTGCTCATTTTCAAAGTGTTGATAACAGTTCTGCACAAACCAGGAGATCAGCAGCTCTACAGAGAGTTGCTCAGCCCCAGGCAAACCACAAAGGGAGCGAAGTCTACCTTTGTTTGGCCTCAGGCCCTCCCATCCCAAAGGCCCCCAAGTTCCATTTCTTTCAGCTCTTTGCACTCCCCATTAAATCTCCAGAATCTTCCCCACTCTCAAAATCTCCCACACACCCATCCTGCCTCAGGAAGCCACATCAGAGGCAACTGTCACGTCTCTTCTCCCAGGAGCACCTGCATTTAGACTTAGGCACTGCCTGCGGCATGACAAGCTTTCACCCTGCTGATGTTTTCAAGCCACTGAGCTACAGAGGGTCCCAGTGGGGGTGCTCCTGCAGGCAGCTGGACACGCCAATCTCCAGGGACCCTTAACGCCTTAGGGGGCAGCTTCTGAAAGTGGTCACTAGGATCACAGAAGCAAGCACTTCCTGCAGCGCCCTGAAGTCCTGTGAGCATCAGTACTTCCCACCCCAGAGATTCCCCCCACTTTTCCTTGTGCCCCCAGCAGCGGGGCAGTCCCAGCAGGCTCCTGGACAGTATTATATAAAGTTCAGAGAAGCAAAGGCATCTTCACAAGTCCACAGGAATCCTAACTTACTGGCCTAAAGGAAAAGGGACAGTAATGTATGGGTGAATCAGTCAGTAACATTTCCACTTGGAGAATTTTTGCACTGCCACCCCCAACCACAGGGTTACAGCCACCCCACGGACAAACCACATGAAATTCGATTCTGACTAAACACGATCTGCCTCCAAGTGTCTCCCCGCAGTGCTGACTCATTTTCATCATTATCATTCTGCTATTTGTTGAGGATCCACCACAAGCCAGCTATTGTGCTTTACCCAAACCTCATTTATTATTTCACTTAATTGTTTTCATCTTCACAGCAGCCCTGTGAGGCAGATGGTACCCATTTTACAGATGAAGAAAGTGAGGCTTGTGGGCTAAGTTGGAATGTTCTTGAATAACCTCTCAAGGTCTTGTGAAGAAAAGAAGAAAATATAGCATCTCAGTGTTAGGATGAATCATTAGAAGCAGAACTGCTCAGTGCTCAAAATAATATGTTTGAAGAAAAAAAACACATTTTATGTGAGCATTTTGCTCTAGTTTCACCCAGTGAGGGAGGAAGGAACAGGTTTCCTGCTGTTCTGCGGTACCTGCTCTCAAACTGGTTCACACTCTGCCCCCGAAGCCAGGCCATCCAGGCTTTAAAATGACCAAACAGATCATCTTCAAAGGCAGCAGAATCAGGAAAGGACACTGACAGCCTCTCCAGGAGCAGGCACTAGAGTCCTCTGCACATCAGGATGTCTCACCTCACAGCGGTTCTCCGAACGCAATACAGCTGATTTCTCTTCCAGGTGGTGAAACTCAGCTTTGAGCTCCTCTTCCAATTCGAGGATCAAGTAAAAAACTGCGTGACTGTTCTGAAGGCTCTGGACTCACCAGGGCTCTGTTGGAGCTGAAGGAACACGGCTCACAGCCCTTCCCCAGCGTGCGGGGCAACGGAAATGACCAGCAGAGAGAAACCCAAAGGCCCACCATGTCTGAGGCACAGCTGTGGCCAGCGTGTCACCCCCACAATCTCTGAAACACTGGAGGCTTATTTAGGATCTGATTTCCTTAGAACAGGCCCATCTTCATAGATGGCAAAATCCTTGGGATCTCTGAGGTGGCCTGTTTTGAAGCTAGCCGAGTTCCGAAAGCCCCAGTTCTGTGTGAATGTCTAGACACTAGCATAGAGAAGTTACTTTCTGCCTGGGGCCATGCGGCCATCTTCTCAAAGGACTTGAATTCTAAAGCTGTGGTGCCCAGTTCTTTAGGGACAGGTGATTATAAGCGGAATGTGTGTGTGCACTCCTTAAAGGTCATTTTCTAATTAAAAGTGAACTCTTAAAATTAATTACTAAAAGCAATACATAAGCATTATAAAAACAGACAAGCCAAAAATAAGTAATAAGTAAAGGGAAAAAGATTTAAAAATGTCATCCATAATCTCACAGTGTGGGTGCCTAAGAAAGACAGACCACGAGAAAAGGGCTTGGGGTACGAACTGAGGGTAGCAAGGAAGGGATAGAAGTTGCAGGGAGGCCGGTGTGGAGATCAAGAAACCAACAAATCCCTTTGCAGATCTGGGCAAAGGGAGCCATGGAGTGTTCTAGGGGGAGGAGGCAGTGACTGGTCATGGGACGTACATGGGCTATTGAAGCTTTGCTGGGGAGTGGTCTGAACCCTCACGCTGTGCATCTTCACTGGGAAATCTCTCCACTGCAAGACCTAATATTTTGGTCCTTGGTATACCTCAAGTTAAAACTAAAAATTTACTTTGGGAGGCCTATACAAACATTACAGAGAGTGTGTGCATAAGTGTGTGCATGTGTTTATGTTATGGATGGGCTGAATTGTGTCACACTCTCCTCACCAAATTCATACATTGACCCAACCATCAGGACCTCAGAATGGGACTGTATTTGGCAACAGGATATGTAAAAGGGAATTACGTTTAAATGAGGTCATTGGAGTGGGCTGTAATCTACTTTGACCGGTGTCTTTGGTAGGGAAGATCAGGACACACACAGAGAAGAGACCAAGTGAAGACACAGAGAGGAGAGTAAGATGATCTGCAAGCCAGGAGCGTGGTGCTCAGGAGGACTGACCCTGCCAACACCTTGGTCTGGGACTCCAAGCCTCCACAACTGTAGGGGAGTAAACTTCTGTTGTTTAAGCCGCCCTGTCTAAGGTGCTCAGTGTAGGGCAGCCCTGGCGCACCAGCACAGCCCATGTGTGCGAGCAGGTGCACGTGTGTCAGGTGTTATCCTAAATCTCGCTGGGTCACAACATGAGATGCATCAATGTGAACTGCTTCTCTGATGTAAATAAAATCGTTGGAGTCTTCAGGAATCCTCTCAAGGTACCACCTCAAGGCATTCAATAGCACCGTGGGTTTTCATTTCAAACAAAATGGCAGTTCCTGGCATTTTTGTTCTTTCCACATTGAACTCTGAAGTAGAGGCATTTGCTTATACATTTCAGGTTGGGGGGAGGTGGAGAGATGAGAAAGAAGAGGGTAGTAAGGAAAGAAAGAGGTTTCATCCAAAAAAAGTGAATAATATTTTCCATTAGCTTACTTCACTCTTAATATATTAAAAAAAAAAAAAAGCATGGACTCGACAGCGGGAACTGTAAATTCCATGCTCCTACAGCCAACAGAATCCTTGGGAGACAAGGGCCAGAATCAGGTCTCAGCGAAGCGTGCTGGGCAGCAGGTTACTCTCTCTCTGCCTCTGGGTTACATCGGGCCTCTTAGCAAGTAATTGTGAATGTCATTAGGTTGTGTCCCATTTCAGTGAGAGCCCCACAAAACATATTTTATGATTCAAACTTTGCACACCAAAAATTTAATACTTTCCTGCTGTTTATAACATTTAATAAGTGTATCAGAACAAATTAGAAACAGGCTTTCTTTCCCCTCTAAACAAATTGAGGGTAAATTTTGTTTATCTGAAGAAGAAACAGACAAAATCAATCTTATCTGGGAAGGAGGGTCAACTGAAAATTGAGACCAACCAGGAAGGACCATGTGTAAGAGTTGCATTAATTTTATGCCTGAGTAAGGAGAGCTCGTATGTGCGACAGCCAGAGTGGTGACATTCACTGCACCCTCTCTGGGACAGCTGTGATTTGGGTGGGGTCTCCTGACAGCCCGAGTTCAAGACCCACAGATGCTGGATGTTCTGATAGAAGTGATGACACATTGTCTTGCTGTGTGTTTTGAGGAGATGCTGCACTCTCACGGCTCATGAACTGGGGACAGTAGGTGGGAGGGAATTCACTCATGGTCCCTGTTACCAATTCCATATGGAAGGTCTCATGTTGCAGGCACAACACTACACATTGCAAACCAAAAACACGGTCCTATCCTTGGGAGAGACAGGCATTAGTCAGGTAGAGAAATAAAATTGGTAATGAAAGAATATGTGGTTAAGGGCCAGAAAGAAAAAGATCTAGGTTCCATGAGAAAAAAAATTACAAGAAAGACCTCTTCTAACCTAGATGCCAGAGGGCTGTTTAACTTGGAACGTTACAGAGGAGAAGTCAGCAGGGCCAAGAATGGGAGAAAGCTTGCTTTGCTAAGCAAGCAACCTGCGCCAACGTCTGAGGCCATGAAGGGGCACAGAATGTGCAGTGACGGGAGACAAGGCTGGGTTGCAGGTAGTGAGTTGAGGGAAAGTGGTCCCAGAACAAGGATGGGGAGGCAGGTGGGGGTCAAGTGACTCGGGGCCTCAGGAGCTATCTTGATGTGAGTTTAGGTACAATGTAAAGTCATAAGTAATTTTAAGCCCTGGAATAAGATGACTTGTGATTTTAAAAGATAGCTCTAGCTGCTGAGTGAGCATAGCCCAGGAGGCGGGAGAGAGATGGTGGCATAAAGGTAGAAGGAGAGGGTTCAGTGAGGGTTGGGTGTGTGCATGAGAAGAAGGAAAGCTGGGCCACATGCCCAGCAGGTGTATGGGGTGGTGCTTACTGAGGAGCAGAGTCCCGGAGCAGGAGAGTGTTTGTGGGGAAAGACTAAACATTCACATCTATAACTGTCAGAGGTGAGAATCAGTGAGACATCCAAGACCAGTCAAAAATGAAAAGTTAGACACCAGACTCTGGCAGTGTGAAAGATGCCTGGGATGGAAGATGTAAATCAGAGCCCTCACCATATAAGTGACACCTAGAACCTCAGGAAGGAACAGAACCATCCAGAGGGTGACTACACAGAGAGGACCAAGGTGGCATTCTGGGAAATGGCCACGTTCAGAGGTCAGGCAGAGGAGACCGACGAGACAAAGCAGTGGGAAGAACAGTGGAATGCTGGGGTTCTGGGAGCTGAGAATGGTGTGCCCAGGAGGGGACTACACTGTGACAGTGCTTCTGAGAGCTCAGACAGGTGAGCACCAGGAAGGGCCCTTCAGGCTGAGCCATAAGAATCAGTTGGGAGGGGACAGAAACAGTTTTGGCAGCATGGAGGAGGGGGTGCCTGAGATGTGTGGGTCTTCTATCTTTGGCAATGTGGCAGAAGAGATAAGTCTTTAGGAAAACTAACTCTCCAGTAAAAACCATTGAAAATATGCTTGATACGTATATTTTCAAAACTCATGTGAATGCACATTAGGCTGATAAAGGGAAATCTGCAGAGACACAATGAGAGAGCATGACTCCAAAAGGGCGGCGGGTGTGGAGACCAGGTAGGAGGTTATATAAAGACACCCGTACCTTGTTCTCAGGAAACAATGCCTGCCATGGCAGAAACAATACCACCCACACCAAAGGAGATAATGAGGACAATCTGCTCTCAGCTCTGGCCATGGATGGGGCAAAAACATCTCTCAGAATTTGGGGCTAGAGCCTGCACCAATTACCTCACGCAGTTTTGCAGCCTGAAACCCCAGGGTACTTAAATACATGATAGTAAAACCATAGATCACCAAAAAATAAAACACCTTAAAATTAGAGAAAATTAGATTGGCATGAATAATTGCAATTAGACGGCTGATTCACCAACAATAAGGGAGCCTGGAATAATAGTAAAATCTCACAAATGCTGAGAGAAAA